GCGCAACATATAGTCAGTACTAGTACTACTCAGTAATCATTAATTGCAGTTTGAATTAATCATGCATCCATTACAATTAATTTAGTGTATCCCGTTGATCTGATTGATGTTGCTGAGTGATTGATGGGCACATGTGAAAAAACGTGCGTGGTACCCCTTGAACTAAGAAACACAAACTCGTGCATCAAACAAAGCAAAGCATAAGCACCCATACGTAGAGAAGAAGGCAGCTTGGGTTAGCATGAGAGAAGAAAACGGAGAAAGGTGATACCTGATGAGATGGTCCAACCGATCAGCATTAATCAAGTCTCTATACAGGCCCAGATGGCCGGTTCAACCAATCAGCATTAATCAAGTCTCTATACAGGCCCATGCCACTGAGAAGCCAGGTTGCAATTCCGTATGTTGATTAGAGATGATGGATGTTGCACTTTGCTAGGGAGTAGTGCCTAGTTTCAAGTGTCAAGTGTCAAGTGTGAACTGAAATCTCTTTCCCGAAAATCCTTCACTTAATAACAATAATAATATCTTGTTCTTGCCCCCACAACCGCTTTGCACTTGATCAAGTATCCTTTGGCGATAGTGATGGTGGGCCTCGAACAAGATATAATAGAACATGGGGGGGTAATGGTATTTATCATTATTAGAGCAATGAACCAATCCCAGTACTTCACACCCAGGACCCACCTAGCTTTTCATCTTCAAGGCCCATCTCGTTGCCTCAACTCTCTCAATTTTATTGTTCTTCGTACGCTCTCGTTGTTGTTTACTCGTCTGGTCGCCCGTCGCCCCACCAATAAAAAAAAAAACAATAATTTTTTTATAATAAAATATCTTCGTTAAAAAAATCATAACTACTAACTAATAAATAAATTTCAAGTCCAATTCTTCAATTTGTGTTAGGATATTTGCAAAACAGCACCCTCATCCATCGGTAATCGGTTGCCCTAATTCCTCCTTGAAAGAGAAAGACCAACCAGTCTTTTGGCCCTTATAGGAATCTTGGCCTTGTGGTTGGTTTTATTTTGGATCAACATTCATGCAAGGGGTGGCCCATCATCATCAGTTGAATTTGATGGGCTAGCTCTAACAGACCATTTGTAACAGCTGAAGATGCTGGACCGAAAAGCTTTTAGTGCATCTCTGGGAGTGGGAGGGCTTTCTCCGATTAAGTTAATTTTAGTAGCTTCTTTAAAGCTACTCAGTGAAAGCAGCTCAATCAAAATTGAAGTCCTCTCATACAGGTTCTTGGTGAATATAAATTTATGGAGGTTATGGGCTCCTTAATGGCTAAAACTGAAATTGGGTAAATCATTATATCCTTGAAAATTTTATTATTGTGGATTTATATCTTTTACATATGTATATTTCATATTTTATGACAAATAATATGCATATGAAATTTATTTTATAAGTATATAATATAAAATATTGTATATAATTAAATATAATAAGTGTCATATTATATTATTATTATTATTATTATTATTATTATTATTATTATTATATAAATATGTGTAGGCTGGGCCAGGCTTAAAGTATTATAGGACCATGTCCGGACCCTGAAATTTTTGGGCCTGAAAACAAAACCTAGGCCTACGTCTGGAATTTCCAAGCCAGGGTGAATCAAATGGACCCTAAGTTGATATATTCTAGCTCCTCTTCATCGTCAACATATAATGGCCACGGCACTAGGAGATGAGTGGGGTCCACCGTCCACCATAGTGAGCGAAATTTCAGATCATCATATCACATGAAGGCAAAAAGTGACTCTTAAAATGGGTACTTATCAAAAAGAGGAGTAAAGTTCAGTTGGGGGAGAGGGTGAGTTACAGCAAAAGTACTGCCTTTGTGTCAATTTCAGGTCCAATCAGTATCTCTCTCTTAATGAGTATATATAGGCTATAGGGAGAACTTTTCTTCCAACATTTCAGAAAACGAAATATTGTTAATAATTTGCCAAAGAAAAAGACTACTGACTGAGTATAATTTGGTGACTAACTCTGTCTTTTGACAAAAAAGAATGATAAAAAAAAAATATAAAACTTTATTATGATATATCATATATTGATTTGTTTAGATGCATGATAGTTGTATAGTTCCCGTCACATACTATCATGTCATTTTTAAGTTAATAGTTAATGCTAATTGGAAAGACTAAAACTTTAATAATATATTTTAAGGTTTTTGAATATTTTATTCTATCTCCTCTCTATTGTTTGTCACCCAAAATTTGTTACCCATAAAAGATCTATTATAAGTCATAACTCATAATAAATTATAGTCATTACCACTAACCTTGTTAGTTGGGTCTAGGTCTGTGGCACCCCATCTTTATCAGGGCCAAAGCCGCATCAAATACAACTAGACTTGGCAAAAAGTTGACCCAACCTACGAACCTAACCCGAAAAAATAGGGTGAGGTCTCATATTTAGCAACCTGAATGTGAAAATGACCCGACCCAAAAAAATTGGGTTGGGTTGGGTTGGGTTGGGTTGGGTCATGGGTCAACCCATTGACCCAATTGTCAAGCCTAATCGGGATTATTTATGCATTGTTAGAAGTTTCCACTCTTTAATTTTTATTATTTAGTCTTTACTTTTTATGGTTTACTCTTTAAATTGTTAAATGTTCAAGTTTTTATTTTATATTTGGAATTTTAAGGTTAATTCTTTTAATTTTGACATTTTTCATGTAATTTTTCTTCATTTTTTAAATTTCAATTATTTTTTTGGATGACCCGAATTGACCCATGGGTCAACCCTAACCCGAACATTTAGGGTTAGGGTCTAGCATTTGACAACCCAACCCAAAATCAACCCGAAATACCTTGACCCAACCCATTGCCAGGTCTAAATACAACCAAAAAAAGAAAAAAAAAATAGTAAGGGCCCATTTGGTTTGTGGGAATAAGGGTTAGGAATTGGAATCGGAATGGATCATTCCAATTCTAACTGTTTGGTTGGGCAGAATTAGAATCGCATTCCCCTTTCTAGTGGAATGACATTCCCCCATTTGAGAGAATTACCATTCCCTTCCCCTCTTTGGGAATGAAATCCTAGTCTACCTGATTCTTATTTGAACCACAGACTATGGGAATAGACCATTTCGATTCCAATTCCAACAAATTCTTGTTCCAACTCTGATTCCAATTCTAATTATAGACCAAATAAGGCTGCAACTTGGACTGGGTTGGCCCTAATCCAACACGAAAAAGATGGGTTAGGTTGGGTCGGCTTGATGCTTGGGTGAGAGATATGATTGAAATTCATGAACCCGACTTTCTTTGGGTTGGGTTAGGAGTTGATCCCTCGGGGAGCCCAACCCAACTCTATAATATATATCATATCATATACACTGATTTGTTTAAATGCATGATAATTGTATAGCCCCCACCACATACTATCATGTCTTTTTAAGATAATCACTTCACTTAATGCTAATTAGAAAGACCAAAATCTTAATACTATATTTATGTTTTTTGAATATTTTACTCTTCATCTCCTCTTTGATATTTTTCACCCATAACTTACTACCTATAAAAGATAAACTATAGTCATTTCAAACACTTATTTGTCTGAATTTTGTACTAAAAGAACTAATAAAAACATCAACAAATACTAGTAAAACACATGATTAATAAATGTAGTGAGTTGAGTTAAGATATGAGATTAAGAGGGTGTTTGGTTCTGTTTACATTTATTGAGTAAATGCTGCCACATAGGTGCCCCATCAGCAAAGGCCTCATTATGCACATCTGTATGCGCCTCTCCTGTTTCAGGAAGCTTCATTTTAGAGCTTCCCTCAATAGGTAGGCGTTTATTGGCACCTTTGTTGATATGGTGCCTAATGGCGCCTATGTGTCATAAACACCCTCATCAATTGCTTTTCTCGATTTTACAACCACACAAGTACAAAACATTTACTCAATAAACGTAAACGGAACCAAACATGTACTAAGAAGTTCTACGAGATTTTAAGAGTTGGGAAGAAGGTTGGGTTGCAACCCAACCCGAAATTGACTTTGGGTTGGGTTATGGTTGAAGAAACCTAGTTAGGGTTAGGTAGGTCAAGGTTGAAGATCAAGTTAGGTTAGGGTTAGGGTTGGAGGTTTAGAACCTAGGGTTAGGCTAGAATTGGCCTCAACCTGACGTAACCCGGCCCAATTTGCAGACCTAGAACCAAATGGGCCCTAATAGATTTGTTAATTAAAATTAGAAAATATTAGTTATACACAACAAAATTAAATTGGATTTCAAGATATATTGATTATATAAAGGAGGGGAAGACATTGTGCATAGATATTAACAAAATGCTTATTGGCTTACTTTGCATGAATTTTGTGTTTAGAATATAATTAAATTGCATCAGAATTGAGACCTATGTTAAGGCACTTAATTTGATTTCAGTTGGCAAACTTCCAAATTCAGTCCATGTCTTATCTATTTTAACTTAGATCCAAGATCTTTGGATATATCCAGTTCCAAATTTGTACCAAAAACAAAAGATCTTAGAGGGTGTTCATCAATGTATATAGTTTAATTTTCTAAAACAAAAACACCTGCCACATCAACAAAAATGCATTGTTTGTTTGGCATGGCAATTGTTTTTATTTTTGAGAATAAAATCATTCATATGGAAAACACCCTCTTAATCTAATGTGATTCGCCATATCTAAGTTGATCTATACTCCTTTGTTTATAAACTAAAAAAGGTTCTATGGATAGGGGTGTTCACGGTCCAGTTTGGTGCGGTTTAGAGAATTTCTCAAACCAAACCAGTAAATTATGGTTTGGAAAATTCTCAGGCCAAACCAAACCGTTTTATTACAGTTTGGTGTGATTTCTAATACGATTTGGGGACTTTGTACCATTCTATACTTTACTTGGACTACAAAACTAGTATAGAAAAACAAATAATTAACAAAACAAGAATAAAATAGATATCAATATCAATAGGAGAATAACTGAATAACAACATAAACGATAGAGTTTGACAAATTCAAAGTTATACAACATGAAAGTGTTTTCTTGAGTTCACAACTCTCAAGCATAGAGAATACATATCAAAAAGATAGTGTTTTGGTACTTCAAATCCAAAAGCATGAAAAATACTTACCTCAATCATTGAACTAGTGTTAATATCTACGTAGCAAGAAAATTAAAGTAAATCAAGATACAAATGCAAGTATAAAATCATTATATTAAAATCATGAACATGAAATAATGAAGAAAACAAACTATTACCTTTATTTTTCAATATCATCCAATTTTTCTTCAACATTAAGTGGTTGCGGAGATAACCGAAGTCAATCTTGAGTGCAAATGAGTGCCTCCACTATCCTAGGACTCAATGAGCTCCTAAAAGAATCAAGAACACGACCTCCTATGCTGAATGCAGACTCTTATGCAACTGTAGAAGTAGGAATTGCCAATAATCAATTAAATAAATCTGAACATTAATAAAAACATCTGCATTCTAAATTTCTAATGCTAAAAAACATGCATATATAAACATATAATTAAAAAATAAATAAATCCTAAATTTCTTTTGTCCAAAATTCTAAAATTGGTTGATATTTTTACCTATCTCCCAAGCCCAAATTCGAATTTTGTTCTTGTTTCTAGAGTTCCAATTCCAATTATGCTCCTGGGTGTTCACAATTGAACATGTATCACTGCATCAAAGAAGAGATAAAGGGGTTAGGCCATTAGAGATTTTATTTTTCAAATAATAGAAGAGACTAGAGAGGAGATGGGAAGATGATAAAGAGATGCAGCAACCAACCGGACTAAGGCGGATAGGGTTCAGTTGAACAGAGGAAGAGGGTTTCCTGGCCTCCTTGATTAGGGCGTTTTGTTAGGGTTGGAAGAGAGATGACAAGATGAGAGGGAGATGGGAGTAGTGACAATGGTGGAGTGGCCAGCGATGAGTTGGTGAAAATGGTGTGGCGGCGACAATGGTTAGGGTTTTGTTGTATCAGATAATGAGAATGAGAGAGAAAGAGTGTGTGTGTGTGTGTGTGTGTGTGTGTGTTTACTACGGAGCTGGACGGCAAAGGTATGATTGGCGGTGATCGACAATACTAAATCAACGGCAACGACAACACTAAATCGTCGACATTCTTTGAGGAAGGGAGGACTGAAGTTGTCTCTTGAGTCTCAAGTCCCGTTCAGTGTTCTTTGAGAAGAAAACCAAAATACTATCAGGTAGGGTATTGTGTATCAATTATCAAAGAGAAGAGAGAGAAAGTCAAAATTAAAATTTATAATTTAATTTATATATTTACATATTATTCACAATTTAGCATAACTTAACTTATACTATTCGATTTATATTTATATATACATATATATATATATATATATATATATATATTATATTTATATTAATATAGTTTACGATTTGGTTTGGTTTATAAAATTTAATAAATCAAACCGTAAAGCATAAACCGTATTTTTCAAATTTGTGAAACCAAACCAAATCGTTATAATTATAGACCTAACAAATCAAAAGTTCGGTTTGGTTCGATTCGATTTTACAGTTTTAACCGTATAATGAACACCCCTATTTGTTGAGAGAAACAGTTGTAAATTTAATTGCCACTTATGCTAATGTACAGAGAGGTACAATTGTAAAAGGTGTTCCAATAATTTCTTACCTTTCTTTTTCTCTTAGATAAAAAAATGCATAATCGCATCATTACCATTTTAATTAACCCATATAAAGGATTTTGGCATGCTAGAGCTATTATCCTCAAGATTGCTATTGTTTTTAGGGTAAATTTCTTAAATTACCCTTATGGTTTAGCTAATTGACCAAGTACACCTCTACTGTTTTAAAATTGACTAATGCTACCCCTACTGTTTCTAACAATTGACTAATACTTCCCTAGTGTACCCTTACGGTTTTAAAATTGACTAATGCTACCTCTATTATTTCTGACAATTGACTAATACTTCCCCGATCGTCAGTGCCCATTAACATAAGGATGAAAAAGACTATTTTGCCCATCATTCTTCTTTAAATTTTCAAAATGAAACTTTAGTTTTTGTTCTAAGGTTAAGAAGAAAGGATTAAAATTTCTAAAATAAAGCTGAAAGAGAGAGAGAGAGAAAGAGAGATCAACCTCACCTTATTCACGCAATCGATGGCCTCGGCTTCTGCTTTATATACCGAATTAACCATATCTTTGAATGTAGGTTTTAGATTAACAGATTTTTCAGCCCAAATGCCGTTGATAAAAGAGAGATGGGGGCCTCCAATGGTTAGAGGTCCTTTGACGGAATCGACGAGTTGACGGCCAACCTGTTGGAGATGATCGATGTTCTGGGACTTGAGGAATGATAATATCTGTGCCAATGTTCAACCGCTGGATCCGCAACCTACAAGGCTAGCTAAAACCAAGGTAGATAGAAAAGGGAGAGAAAACATAATTGGAGTTGCTGGCCTCGTTTAAGGTGCAGCACTTGGTGAGTTGCAGACATGAATCGGTTTGTAGACTTAGCGGTAGCCTGAACTCCATTTGGAACCTCGGCTGATAAGAGTTCCTTAAGTTAGGAAGGATGAACACTAAAGACATGGAAGAACAATGAAGGCCTTTCGATTTCCCAAGAGAAAGCGCGTAGGTGGTACTGTTTGTCGTACGAGTTCATTACTTGATCTGGATCCCTACGGAGCCTTACCCGTTGACCTCTGAAACTGTTCGACGCCGAGCAAGAAGCCTGGACCCCCTTTTTTACCTCCCTTTCTTTGTTTGAAGCTGGGTTCGTTCTTTCATTTTTTATCACCTTTTTTTTAATCGTTTCTTCTTTTTCTGTTTTTTTCATACTTCACCTAGAGATAAGAGAGAGAAAGATGAGCAGCATTGGGGTGAACTGGTGTAGACAGAGGTTAAAGGGTTTTTTAGGAATGGAGGTGGGAAGGGTATTTTCGGAATTTTTAATAAATATATTAGTCACATGATATCATATGTAGGAAAGTTAACCGTAGAGTAAGACTTAGTCAATTGTCAGAATAGCATAAGTCAATTTTAAAACAGTAAAAGTACATTTAGTCAATTAGCTAAACCATAAGGATAATTTAAAAAATTTACCCTTATTTTTATAGCTAGATTTAAATACAAATCACGTAGAAAGAAGCTAAGGCTTAATTTGAAAAGAGTACAAATGCAAATATATATAACATAAATAATACAAAATATAAGGTTTTACACTCTACATATTTACATTTGTACTCCTTCCAAACTCAGCCTAAGTTATACACCTAATCAAACAACCAATCTTTTTGTTGGTAAATGACAATTTTTTATATGCAACTATTTTTTCCCCCTACAGCCAAAGTGGGATTCACATGTCATAAAGGACAAAGTCTCCTAGAGTTACATAATCATAAAGTTGTTTACTAGAATTCCTCCAACCTAAATTTTAAATGTTTATTTATAAATAACAAAATGATGCTAATAATGGAATACCAAAAAAATGATGTTAACAATGATCATATAAGTATATTAAACAGTATTTTTGAGCCAATTTCACCCGTATTTGTTCTAAATATTTTTAAAATTAGGCCTTGTTTGGTATCGTTGCCGTTTTATCAAGAAGCCGCCATGCCTTGGAAGTTGATAAAGTATTAGTTCTATACACGTTTTAAAATATTATTTGGTGCCAACTAGACATCACATATACAAGAAGGAGAAAACGTTTTTTTCATTGTAATAAACGTTAGCTTGACGTTTTTTCCAGAAATTGCTTTTACAAACCCCAATGTATTAAAGTTGCTTGAAACAATTTCAAAATTCTTAAAAAACACTAAACAAAACAAAAAAAAAAATGTGGAGGAGTTGGAGGACAAAACCCCTACATGGTGCTGATAAGGAGGAAATGCCTTGGAGAAACGATTATGATACTAAACAGTAATAAGTTTAGATGATTTTGTTTATCTTATTAGTTTTATATCATTATATAATAAATGTTGATAAATCATAAATGAAATATTTATATGAAGTCCAAAAATTCAAGGAAAATAAGTGATAGAAATCTCAACATTTTGACACAGATTTCAAATTTTCAATCAGAACAAATACACCAAAAATTTTCCATTTTTTATATTTAAAGTCAAATTTTCACTGAAATTTACTTAGGATGAAAAGGCCAAATAAGAAGGCTTTCAAGAGAGTCATCCCTATTAACTATGGTTGCAAATAGATCAAATTGTATTGGTATAGAGGTATATTTCAATTAAATCCAAGATAATTTATCTAATTTAACTTTTGTCAAATCTCTGAAAACTGCATTCAAATTCAATTTGTTTAAATATTTGTAGGGATGCAACTTGGGTAGGTTGGAGTTGGGATTTTGTTAAAATTGCAATGGATGGGGCCTGGTGCAGTGTAAATTCTTCAAGTTGGGTATTCTACATGTACCTCCGAATATTTGGATATCGATAATCAACGCCAACAATAAACTTGCAAAATAAAGAAACTAATAAAACAATAAGATTATGCATAGAACAGTAAAGCACACTTTTGATTAAACTTGTTCATGGGTCAGGCTTTCGATTGTTTATGTCAAAAACGTTGCTCTAAATTTTGTGGGCCTAATGCGAGCTCGAGCCGGGCCTTAACAAAAAACCTAAGCCCAAGCCCAGATTTTCCCGGCTACGCTGAAATGATCAGCCCTATAGGGAAGCGTTTACTGTTATTCATTGGACTTCTACACAGGAATGTTCCAATCACTAGCTGGCTCTGTACGCCGGTTGCTTGCCAGCAAGTTATGCACCGGTAGAAGGGCAAGGTGAAGGAGAGAAAATGAGAGTGATGAATTTTTGGCAAATTCACTAGTTCTTTTGAAAATATAAAATAAAATAAAAAATTGGTTTTATACAGTAATAAAGTTATTTTATTAGTAAATTAAAAGAACACGTGTCATGTGGAGAGCGACTTTGGGCAAGAATTCCCTAAGGCCTCAATTTTCATCAAGTGCCACAATCAAGTATTTTGAACTTTTAAAAATCAACACTCAAGTCCATCCATTAGAATTGCAGCATGTGATGTTATGTGTGCCTTAAAACATTTCAAAATCTCAAAAATAACCTTCACATATTTTATAAAGCAATTCCACAAGGGCCTTTTTTTAAGTTTTACCAGACTGGCCTTGCATCAGAATTTGACAATTTGTTCAAAGAAGCTCAATAAATCCATTAATTAGGACTGCATAAAAGGAATTTAAAATGACTTGAATGTTGATTTTTAAAAGTTGAGAGTGTTATTGCAATTGAAAGTTGAGGCCTTTAAATGTCACTACCCCCAAGGCTGTATTTGGTTGCAATACAAATAAATTTGCACCGGTGTAAAACTATGGTAGTGCACATGATTTGAGTATAAATTCTGACTTATTGTTGTTTTAAATTTTAGCTTATTTTATTTAATTGCAGTATAAATATAGTAAATTAATACATGAAGAAGAATAATGTAAAACCCAAAATAAAATTAAACAAGAATTTGCATTTTTTTCATTTGCACTCCCATGCATTTGTACTAATGCAAATAAAATTGTACTGCAACCAAACACAACCCAAAGTACAAAATACCAATCTGTAATTTTCCCTTTATAGTTTATATAATATTAAGTCAAGTTAGTTGGATCCAATTACTAGTCAACAACATGGTTGGTGTTGTTTTTTGAAAACATAAGCAACTACCACATCAGCAAAATTATAAACCAACTATGTTGTTGAACACCCCAAATGAATTACAACTTTAATTCAATTAAATTCATTTAAGAATATTGGATATCCAAATCCAGCTTAGACATATATGATTTTTCTTGGTAAAACTTAAAACGTGTTCGGTTTTGAAATGGAACAATAGTTCAATAGCTAATTCATTTGCACACTACCATCCATGAGCTTAGGGATGGCAATTTCGCGGGAATTTTCTAGTATCCAACCCATCCTGGCCCTAATAGGACCCGCTTATCAAAACCCTATAGGGTTTGGGATTTTAGATAAAACCCTATAGGGTTTAGGTTTTGACTTTAGGGTATCTGATACTCGATACCCGGGATGCATAAATATGAACCTATTATATTATATATCATGCGCAAATTTATACATTTTTAAGTACTAAGATAAGTATTCTATTATTAATATTGTATTTGTATAAATTTCTTGTGATTAAAATCATCATTTGATGTAAATTTGGATTTGATAGATTGTTTATTTTCTTTAGTTATAAAGTGCTAATTTTAAATATTATTTATTTTAATTTTTAGTTGGAATTGTTAATCATATAAATGTATTGATTGTTCTCATGAATAAAGAAGTTAATCAAATCCATTTTATTTCATTAAATAACACAAAAGGCGAGATGGCTTAGTGGCTTAATGGGTAGGATGGGTCGGGACGGGTTTAATGGGTTTGGGAAATTGAGAGGAAAATTTAGATGGGTTTGAAATCAGGAATACATAGGCGGGTTCAGAAACTGGTAGGACAATTTTTTAGTGGGGTGCTTGCCAATGTGCATGTTTTTTCGTTTCAAAACAAAAACAACTCACATACTAGTAAAAATATTTGATTTTTCTATTGTGACATTTTTTAGTCTTGAAAAAACAAAATAAATCCAGTGAATGACCCACCCCATACTAAGTACGGGGAATCAGTAATGTTAAATTTACATTATGGAATCAATACTGTTAAAGTTATATTTATTAATATTTTAAATAATTATTAAAATTTCAAAAAATAGCTTTTCAATAATTATTAGAATATAGATATTTTTTTTTGTTATGATACATAGAGGGTTAATGATTAAGTGAGATTGGTAGAATGTAGGCAGAAGTGGTTTTGGATAATCACTTTTGCATTTTCTGCATTTTTTTAGGAATTGATTGAAAATGGTGGTAGTGGGTTGTGGGCTTTAGCAGCAACTTCTCAGAAAATGCCACGTGTCTAGCTTTTCAGAAAAATGAAAAGGCCATGTGTCTGAATGGTGGGGAGTTGTAGCGACTCTAGATCTCCTGCCTACATCTACCTACAACACACTACCCCTCGTGAATTGGGAACATATCCCCCTGTATAATACTATGTAGGAGGATGAGATGTTCTTTGTGTGTGGCTGCGATCTTATGTGGGTAGACATGAGCAGGAGATTTGGACTCAGCTGTAGCCTGGTAGTGGATTGTGAGTTTTAGCAAGAATTTCTCAGAAATTGCCACGTGTCTGAATGATGATAGTGCGCCCTGAGCTTTAACAACAATTTCTCAAAAATGCCATGTGTCTAAATTTGAAAAAAGTCATGTGTATGAATGGTGGGGGCTGTAGCCTAAAAGCCTTCCTTTAAGATTAAGGCTAAATTAGATAAGATTAGATAAGATTAAGGTTAAATTTATGAATGCTTATTAGCTTATTCTAATAAGCGCTTGAGAGCGTTTGATAAAAAATAATTTATTGTAAACAAGGGTAGTATATATATATTCTGAATGATGTGGCAGGTCAAGATAGGCCAAAAAATAAGCCAAAAATTTGGTCTTCTCAAATAGGTGTTTATTCAAATAAGCACTTATTTTTAAGCACTCCCAAACTTAACCTAAGAAAAAATAAGGGTAAATTACAAAGCT